TTTACGACATCAAAATATGTAATAATTTGAGCGAGAAATTTGGTGTCAATAATGTTTTTTGTTAGGAGATTTATAGCTTCTTCCTTGGACAGAGACTGTCTTAAAAAATTTTTTTAATAGTTATTTTATATAAAACTATATATATATTTAATCTATATAATACATTAGATACTCTAATGCTATATATATCAATTTAATTTATAAAAATTAAATTTTAAATAAAAATATTTTTACTAGTTTCTAAACAAATATTATAAAATTTTGTTATTCAAATTTTACAATTCTGTAAATTAACTCATTTCAATCTTTTTCATTAGCATAATGAAGTTTAATTCTTTAAAGTATAAGATAAACAAATTATTTTTTATTATTAGTCATATATTTAATTACGATCTGCTATATCTCCTTTTAAGCTAAAATAAAAAATTTTTATAAAATATTTTTATAAATTCTATTCTAATTTGATTGATCTGATTATTATTATTATTATTTTTTTTAACCTTAAGTAGTTATGCTAATATTTTATTAAAATTCTTGAAACTATATATACTTACAATTATATAGAATTTCCTAATATCTAAGTTTAGCATTACTCAGCCACCTAAATAGTACCTAAGTGCAATATGTTGCATTATCTTAGTATTGGCCTAATTATTCTAAGTTGAGTAATTTGAATATTTAGATCAATCTAAGCATGTGTCTTTAAAATTTTTATCAAATTTAGGTTATATTTATAATGTTTTTTAAGATTTGATTTTTGCTTTTTTGGATAACAAGATTTAATTATTGATTTTGGCTTTTACTATGATCTTATCAGATGATTTCAAATTGGTTTATAAATTCTTTACTAATATAATATTATAAAAGTAATAAATAAAAATATAAATAAATAAACTGATTAACCACTTTTTTAATAATTTAGTTTTTGCTAATACTTTATTAGATTGTTCAGTCAAGTTTTAAAAATTCTTTATTTATATTTAATTATATTTTATTTAAAAAGCTTAATTTAAAAATATTAAGTTATATGTTAACCTTAAAATTTTACTATACATAGAGATGAGTCATGCATAGAATCTATGCAGAAATATATGCAAAATCTTGCAGTTTTTTTGGATTTTTATATAGGATTTTTAATATAAGATTATTTGGACTACATTAGCATATCATCTGGTCTGCATTAAATATTATCTAGTTTGCATTAACATTAATAAGAGGTTTCAGAATTAAAAAAAAATAGCATATTTTGAAAGAAAATAGAAGTTTAAAAAATCTTATTTTTGTTGTCAAATTTTGAAATCAGAAAATGAAATAGGAGTGTTTGTAGATGCCTATTTCATTAAATAGGATAACTTTTTAATAATGATATTGATCATTGTAATAATCACTAATATTCTTTTACTGTAATAACTATATTGTATTATTAATAAAAAAAAATAAAACTTTCACTTAAAATAACTTTTGCTTAAAATTTTTTAAAATAACTTTTGCTTAAAATTTTTTAATAAAACTTTTGTTTAAATTTTTTTAAATAAAAGTTTCACTTAAATTTTTTTTAAATAAAAGTTTTGCTTAAATTTTTTTAAGCATTATATTACTTATAAATATTTAATAAAATCTTTATAATTTAATATGCCTCCAAAGAGAACTTTTAAACAAACCACTAAAAAGCAAAAACTTGCTATAGTTATGTTTATAGAAAATCCAAAAAATTACAATATTATTGATAGAAATGCAGCAACTAGTGCTCCTATAAGTGGCAAGCCAATAACCAAAAATGCTGGCTTTGCACAAATAGCTTTATTTGTAAACAGATGTTGCAAAGATAGTTGTTAGAATGCTAAAATAGCAAATGTCAATAAACAACTTATAAAAAAACTTATATAGAAACTGAAATTTAGTTAACAAATCTGGATAGAGATTAACAGAAAAAAATTGTGACAATGATATTAATACTATTGAAGCAAAACTAGAATATTTATGTCATATTATAGCAGAATTGATGCAATTTATAGAGAAAAACAAAATGTTCAACCTACTATCTTGAAAATTTTGGTTTAAATAATGAAATATTAGAAGGTAATAATAATTTTAATTTTATAAATAATTTAAATTTTTTTTAATTTAATAAATTAATAATTTAGACCAAAATAAAAATGAATTAAATAATGAAAAAGGTATAATTTATATTATAATTTAATTTTAACATTAATAATTTATTTAAATTAATATTAATTATTTAAAAGATAATATACGAAATGAAAAATCTTCATTATTATTTATATTAGATGAAATTACATTAGATGATGAATTAGATAAAACTTTGTCAAATAGTAAATATAATTTAATAAAATTTTGTTTTTTTAAAAATAATTTATATAATTAATAAATAATATATTTATGATTGCTTATATAATAATAATTTTAATAATTATTATGATGAAGAATTAAATAGTATAAAATTATATTTTTTAATTATTTAAAATTAATTATATATATATTAATATTATTTAATCTAAAAATATATTTATTATAGATAATGAGTCAAATAAAATTAATTCGAATTTTAATGAGCTAAATAAAATTAATTCAAATATTAATGAGTTAAATAAAATTAATTCAAATATTAATAAAAGAAATTATAATTTAGAAAACAAAAGTTTATTAATTAATATTTATTTTTATATTAAATAAATCTTAATTTATTATAAATTTTTTTTAGATGATAAATTAACTGTAATTGCAAGTACTTCTTATAATAATAAAGGAAAGCAAATACAAAAAATTTATTAAAATGACAATGTTTATCACAATCTACTAAAGACAAGAAAACTTCTGTAAAAGATATATATTTTAGAACAAAACAAAAAAGTCTTCAAAATGAACAAGAACAAATTGCTATTAAAATAAAAATAGCTGAAATAAAAGAATTTGAAGTTAAACAAAAATTCTTAATTGATAAAAAAAATTCGAATAAGAAAAAGAAAAAAGTAAAAAAGAAGATACAAAAATATTTTAATTGAACTTATATGTAAAGAAAAATCATTTAATGAAATTAAAAAAATATTAGATTTTTTTAATAATTTATAAATTAATAAAATAATAAATATAATAAATTAATTTATATTAAATTAAATATTTTAATATTTATATTTTATTAAAATAATTATTTTTTTGAAGTACAAGATTTTGAATATATTTTCAAATTTATTTTCTTCTTTATTTGAACTATTATCTATAAAATTATTTATATTTGTTAAATAAATCAATTTTATTTAAATTTTCCTCCCAAATATCATTATTTTTTAAAGCTAAATTATAATAAATAATCATTGCTTTAATAATATCTAAAATAAATTTTAAATTTTTTTAGATAAAATTTGAGTTCTTATTCTATTTAAACATCCAAATCTTCCTTTCCATATTCTATTAACATGCTCAATTCTAATATGTTCTTTAGATAACATTGTATTAAAAAATAAATTTTTAGAAATATTTGATTGTGGTTGTTTATATGGAATTATTATTGTTGAGATGAGTGAATAACTACAATCAGCTAATAAATATTCATTTTTATTAAAAAATTTTTGAACTTCACAAAAAAATAGAGTAAATTTATAAGCTCTTGAATCTATAACTGATCCTGGCCACTCAAAGTTTGCAAATTGAATATATTTTAAATTATTACAAACTAATTGTACAGTTAAAGCATACTGCTTTTTTCTATTATAATATGTTTCACTATCTATTAATGGATTATATTTAAGTATAACATCAGTTTCATCTAAAAATCTAACACATCTTTTAAATTCTGATAATTGTTTCATCTGATTACTAATTTGTTGTTATTCAACAGAATCTGGCTATTGTACATATTTATTTCTAATTAAATTAATAGCAGTTATTATACACTTAGTGTATTCAACTACAGTGCCAATTCTTAGACTCTACTGTTTAGCAAACTGTCTAACTGAAGCACCATTTCTATTACAACCAAGTCATTCTAAAGTAACTGCTAATTGTTGCCAAACTGGTCTTTGTGGATGTCGAGATTTATTTAAAAAAATAGAATTATCATGAATGAGATTTTCTACATTCTAGAATGTTTCTTTACTAACTTTTGTGATTTGCTTAAAATTATAATCATTATAATTAAGCAAAAGAATCTCAAGAAAATGATTTGATTTAATAGTTCTGTTATGTAAACTAAAATACTGATCCAACTCTATAACTTTCAGCAACTCAAATAATTTGTTAATTTCTTTATCAAGAATTTCTGATGTGATTTTATTTGTATTGGTTGAATGTTCCTTTAAAAGTATATTTAATATATTAGTTATACTTTTATTTCTGTTTTTGATATGATACTTTAGGTATAATAAGTAAAATAGCTAAAAGAAAAATATATTTATTCAAATAAATATACTGTATGTATATAAAAGTGTGCAGAAAAAATTTATGTAAATATGCAATAACAATAATTGTAGATGTGCATAAAGGGCACTAAAAAAAATTTATTGTTATTATTATATAAATAATAATTATAAGCGTAGTTGATAAAAAAAATAATCATATAAATAAGTTTATTCTAATTTTTAAAATAAAAGTTGTAAACCACTTATTTGAAATAATTATTTTATCTGATTTAATAAAAATAAGATTCATGCATTTTAATTCTGAAACCTCTCAATAGGTTAATTTTTATGACTGAATTAAAATCACAATCCAAAAAAATTTTAAACATTATATAAAAATATTCAAGTATAAAAATTTATATAGCTTAACAAAAAAATAAAAATAAAAAAATTTAAATAATAAATAATAATTTAATTATTTTATTTATTTCAAATAACTCAATAAACATATTATTTATTATTACAAAGTTTAAATCAATAAAAAATAATTTTTTATATAAAATTTTAGTCTCAATATATTTGTTATATAATGTTTAAAAATTTTTTAGATGGCTGTTATACTCTAGCTTGCATTTCTATATAGAACTTTTATTTGTTTTATCATTCTATATATATATGTATATACTTGATTAAATTTTTTTTTGCTATTGATAGTTTTTACTTACTATTATTAAAGGGTTTTTGAGTTTTCAAAATACAGAGTCAAGAAAAATATAACAGATTGTTGTTTAAAAATACCAAACATCACAAAACATTGTATTATAAAAGAGGCAAAACAATTTGGCAAGGCTAAGGCATAAGTGCAAAATCTCAGTTTATTACTAAAATAGTTTTTATTACTAATATAGCTATTACTAATAATGATTATTCTAATTGCTTTTTTTCCTTTTTCTAACTCAAAAAAAAATGCTATTATATACAAGAATGGTGCTTTACAAAAAGAAATAGCACAGAGGCCCAAGATCAAATATTTTTCTACTGAACTTAATAGTTTCAAATCTATCATTATAATCAGGACCTTGAATGGCCTTATGTAATACAAACAACTAATAAAATCTGGCAGATCTACTCTAACAAACAGCTATAGTACCCAATTCTGCATTCTTTATAGCATTGTTTCAGTTGGGCAGCTTGGCTTTCAAGTTTCTTAAAATGCAATCATTTGCTTGTTTTAAGGGTGTCTTACTGTAAAGAGGTATGGGTCAGAGTGGCACTAGGTTAGAGCAACTCTGATACCTGTTTTGCCCTTAACACTATTTATTGTTATAATAAATATAACTATTATTAAGTTATTTTTTAAATAATATTATTATAATATAAGTATTAATAAACTAATTTTGTATTATTTTAAAATGCTAAATATATTTAAAATATATTATTTTAATAAGAAATTATATTTCTACTAATAAAAAACTTCCAAAAAAAACTCTTTCCGTAAATCCTTTTTACACAAAAATAACTAAAAATCCGTCAGTACTAAAATCGTCAATACCTG